GTAATTTTTTTTTTTTTTTTTTTTTTTTTTTTTTTTTTTTTTTTTTTTTTTCCGTGCCCAAAAAAGAAAAAAAAAAAAAAAAAAAAAAAAAAAAAAAAAAAAAAAAAAAAAAATTACTCAGTTAAACCCTTCTTAAATATTTATTGTTGAAGCCACTCTTGGACTTCATGAATATCACTGTATTTTCATATTGTTCTGTTTAAAATACTTTATTTTTTAGAACAGTCTAAGATTTTCAGAAAAATTGAGGAGATAGTACAGAGAGTTCCCATATATCCCTAGACTCAGTTTCTCCTACTGATAACAACTTACATTATTATGGTACATTTGTTACAATTAATGAACCAACACTGATACTTTATTATTAACTAAAGTCTATACTCAGATTTCCTTAGTTTTTAACTAATGTCCTTTTGATACCACATTCTATTTAGTTGTCATGTCTCCTTAGGCTACTCTTGGCTATGACAATTTCTCAGACTTTCCTTGCTTTTTACAACTCTGACATTGAATACAGTAAAAGAAATCACACAGAGACTACACTACTGTGTCTACCTGGAACCACACCTAATATACCCTACCCAACTGTCACTATAGAGCACATCTATAAGAAGTAGTCTCTCCCATTAAAAGATACTCCAGAGTATTAGAAGCAACTACTCCACAAGATGCCCAGACATCAATGTAGGGATACTAGAAATATGAAAAAACAAGAAAATATAACACCCCAAAGAAATACAATAATTCTCTAGTACCAGACCTCAAACAAGAGGAAACCTATGAAATATATAAAAAGGAATTTCAAACAATAATCTTAAGGAAACTCAATGAGATGTAAGAAAAACCAGACAGACAACATAACAAAATGAGAAAAACAATCCAGGATATGAAGGATGAATTTGACAAAGAGACAGACACCTTTAAAAAGAACCAAACAGAAATCTTGGAACTGAAGAATTTATTCAACAAAATAAAAAATACAACTGAGAACTTAAGCAACATGCTAAAGCAAGCACAAGAAAAAATTGCTGAACTCAAAGACAGGCTTTTTTAAATAACCCAGAGAGAGAGAAAAAAATTTTTTATAAAGGAGAAAGACTACAAGATCTATGGTACAAACTTAAGTGTACAAACATCTGAATTATGGGAGTTCTGGAAGGGGAGGAGAAAAGAAAAGGCAAGGAAAACCTACTTAATGTAACAATAACTGAAAACTTCCCCAAGTATTGGGAGATATATGGACTTCCAGATACAAGATGCTCAAAAATCTCCAAACAAATTCAACCCTAAAAGGTCCCCCCCAAGATATATTGTAGATAAATTCTCAAAACTCAAAGACAAAAAGAGTTCTAATAACAGCAAGAAAAAAATGTCAAGTCACATATAAGGGAATCCTGATCAGATTAACAGAAGATTTCTCAGCAGAAATCTTACAGGTCAGGAGACAATGGGACAATATATTCAAAGTACTAAAATAAAAAAGTTTCCAGTGAAGATTACTATACCCAGAAAATTATGGAGAAATTAAGGAGAAATAGTGTCTTTCTTATACAAATAAAATCTATGAGAATTCACCAGTACAAGACAAGCCCTACAAGAAACGCTAAAGGGCATTATACACTTGGAATCCAAAGAATGATAATCACCATCATGAATACATGAGAAAGACTAAAATCTACTACTACAGCAAATACATAAATGAGAAAGAGAAAGAAACTAAATCTTATCACTACAAAAAAAACAACGAACTAAAAAGAAAACAATAAAAGAAAAAGAGGAACAAAATATATATACAACAACCATAAAAATTCAATAAAATGCCAGGAGTAAGGAATACTTTTCAATAACAACCCTGAATGTAACTTCCTACTTAAAAGATATAGATTGGATGAATAGATTAAAAATCTAGACCCAACTCTATGCTGCCTACAAGAAACTCACTTCACCTGTAAAGACATGTATAGACCAATAGTGAAGGGATGGAAAAAGATATACCATGTGAATGGAAGCAAAAATGAGCAGAAGTAGCTATATTTATATCACACACACAAAAAAGACTTTAAATCAAAGTTTAAAAGCCTTAAAAAGAGATAAAAAGAGAAAAAGAAGGTCATTAAATAATGATAAAGGTATCAATTCAGCAAGATGATATAACAATTGTAAACATATATGCTCACAACATCATAGCACCCAGATGTATAAACCAAATATTATTGGATCTAAAAGGAGAGACAGACCCCAATACAATAATAGTTGGAGACTTCAACACCCCTCTCTCAGTACTGGACTCTAGACGAAAAATCAGAGAAACATTGGATTTAAACTATATTTTAGACCAAATGGATTGGACAGACAGCCACAGAACATTTCATGCAACAACTACAGAATATACATCCTTCTCATCAGCACATGGAACATTCTCTTGTATAGACCACATGTTAGGCCACAAATCAAGTCTTGGCAAAATTTTTAAAAATGAAATTATTTCAAGTATCTTTCTAGACCACAACAGAATAAAACTATAAATCAATAATAAGAAAAAGTTTGGAAACTATACAAGTACTTGGAAATTAAACAACATGCTCCTTAACAACCAACCAATGGGTCAAAGAAGAAATTTAAACAACAAAATTAACAAACTGATTTTTACGGACATTATGCATGCATCAAGTAGAAAATACATACTCTTCAAGCACATATGGAACATTTACAAAAAATCTCACTTTACTAGGCCATAGCCATAAAGTAAATCTCAAAAAATATTCAAAGAACAGTATCATACAGGCCATATTCTTTAACTATGGTGCAATTATGCTAGAAATTAATAACAAAAAAACTGTAAAAATCCCCATACATTTGAAATTGAAAAATCTACTTCTAAATATCAAATGTGAAAAGAAAAAAATGATTTATAAGTATTTAAACTCAGAACAAGTAAGACTGAAAATATCAAATCACATATCAAAACTTATGGAATATATCAAAAGCACTTACAAAAGTACTTAAGGGTTACCATTCTAGTTTATAACAGAAAAGAAATCAGAAAATTGGTGAACTAATCATCTAACTTAGTAAAAATGAATAATTAAACACAAATAAAAGAATAGTCATGCTATTTTTAGCCTTATGTGTTTTGAGGTTCTTTTAGGTTCAAACAAGTTAATAGATACAAAAGAGATACAATAGAGATAATAAACACAAAGTTAAAAGTAGATTACTTGAAAGGATTGATAATGAAATAGGCAAAAATACAGTGAAATAGGTTTATTTAAAAAGGCACATAACTATTACGGATGAAAAAAGAATACAGCCATCCACCCAAGTATAGTCCTTGCAGGGAATGTACCAGCCACCTGGATCCATGCCAACCTTCCCCTGGGAGATCAGAGTCACACTTGACTCAGCAAGCCCATGAAAGTCTCCTGTCCCAGAGGTGAGGGTGTGAGGAACAAAATGGCCCCTACTATCATGCTCATCTAGAACCAAACCTATAACACCCGGCTCGACTACGAATATAGAATACTTCTGCAGGTAAGAGTTTCTCCTTTCAAAAACTACTCCAAAAATTAAAAGAAGCAACTACACCACCAGGTGCCCAGATATCAATGCAAATATAAGAAGCATGAAAAAACAGGGAAATATGACACCCCCAAAAGAAGACAATAATTCTCTGATACCAGACCCCAAACTATAGGAAAACAGTGAAATGCCTGAAGAGGAATTCCAAACGGTAATCTTAAGGAAATTCAACATGATGCAACACAAAATAGATAGAAATCACAATGAAATCAAAAAGACAATTGAGGACATGAATGACAAATTCAACAAAAGATAGAGATCATAAAAAAGAACCAAGCAGAAAGCCTGGAATTGAAGAATTCATTCAATTAACTAAGAAATACAACTGAGGGCTTAAGCAACAAGCTAGAACAAGCAGAAGAAAGAATTTCTGAACTTAAAGACAGGCTTTTTGATTTAACCCAGTTGGACCAAAAAAAGAACAAGGAATTTTTTTTTTTTTTGTCTTTTTCCGTGTCCGGCAACGGATCGCAACCCTCAGTGTCGCCCCCATACCGGACCGGGACCAGCAACGGGATAACAAGGAATTTTTTTTTTTTTTGTCTTTTTCCGTGTCCGGCAACGGATCGCAACCCTCAGTGTCGCCCCCATACCGGACCGGGACCAGCAACGGGATAACAAGGAATTTTTTAAAAAGAGAAGAAAGACTATGATATCTATTGGACGATCTGTCTTAAGCACACAAATATCTGTATCATGGGTGTACCAGAAGGGGAAGAGAAAGGAAAGGCATTGAAAGCCTATTTAAGGAAATAATACCTGAAAACTTCCCAAGTATTGGGAAAGATATGGTCTCCCAGATCCAAGAAGCTCAAAGATCCGAAAACAGATTCAACCCTAAAAGGTCCTCCCCAAGACACATTAACGTCAAGTTGTCAAAAGTTAAAGACAAAGAAAGAATTCTAAAAACAGCAAGAGAAAAGCATCAAGTCCCCCATAAGGGAATGCCCATCAGACTAACAGCAGACTTCTCAACACAAACCTTAGAGGCCAGGAGAGAGTGGGATGACATATTCAAAGTGCTAAAAGAAAACAACTGCCAGCCAAGACATACACTGGGGAAAAGACAGCCTCTTCAATAAAAGATGCTGGGAAAACTGGATATCCATGTGTAGAAGAATTAAACTAGACCCCTATCTCTCACTATTTACATAAATCAATTCAAAGTGGACTAAAGACTTAAATGCAAGACCTGGAACTATAAAACTTCTAGAAGAAAACACATGTGAAATGCTTCAGGACATAGGACTAGGCAAAGATTTTATGAATAAGATCTCAAACACACAGGCAACAAAAGCAAACATAAACAAATAGGATTTTTATCAAACTAAAAAGCTTCAGACAGCAAAGGAAGCAATCAACAGAGTGAAAAGACAGCTTATAGAATGGTAGAAAATATATGCAAACTATGCATCTGACAAAAGGCTGATTTCTAGAATATACAAAGAACTCAAACAACTCAAAAGCAAAGAATAACAAAAACAAAAAAACAAACAACCCAATTAAAATAGGTAAGGGAGCTCAGTAGGCATTTCTCAAAATAAGACATACAAATGGCCAACAGGTATATGAAAAAATGCTAAACATCACTAATCATCAGGGAAATGCAAATCAAAACCACACTGAGATACCATCTCACTCCAGTTAGACTGGCTATTATCAGAAAGACAAAAAATAACAAATGCTGGCAAGGAAGCGAAGAAAGGGAAACCCTTATTCATTGCTGGTGGGATTGTAAATCAGTACAGCCATTTTGGATAACAGTATGGAGTTTTCTCAAATAACTACAAATAGAACTACCATATTACCCAGCCATCCCACTACTGGGTATATACCCACAGGAATGGAAAGCATCATTTCAAAGGGATACCTGCACTTCCATGTTTATTGCAGCTCTGTTTACAATAGCCAAGATATGGTACCAACAACCTAAATGTCCATCAATAGATGACTGAATAAATAAAATATGTTACATGTATGTAATGGAATACTACTCAGCCATAAAAAAGAATGAAATTCTGCCATTCATAGCAACATGGATGAACGTGGAGAAAATTTTAAATGAAATAAGCCAGGCACAGAAAGTGATATACCACATGTTCTCACTCATATGTGGCTGCTGAAAAACAAAACAAACAAGCCAAAAACAAAACAAATAACAACAACAAAAACAATAATAATAATGATTAGTTAGAAGGAAAGAGAAGAACTATGGTTACTAGAGGCAGGAAAGAGGGGAGGGGAAAGAGGGGACGGTGAGAAGCTGGTCAATGGACACAAAAGTACAGCAATATAGGAAAAATATGCCCTATTCATGTACAGTTGGCCCAGAAATCTATAATCAATAATGATTTACTGCATATAACCAAATGGCTAGAAAAGAGGTGATAAAATGTACACATCACAAAGAAATGATTAATTTTGGCAATGAATAAGCTAATTACCCTGAACAGAGCATCACACATTGTATACATGTATTGAAATATAACTCTATACCCCATAAACACGTACAATCAATATGTATCAATAAAAAATGTTTTAAACAAAAATAAAATAAAAGCAAGTTACAAAAGTGTTAAAAAATAGAATATAACTTTTAGATTCAGAGGAGACTAAATATATAAGAAAATACTGTTAATAACTTTATGCCAATAAGTTTGAAAACTTAGATGCAACTAACAAATTCTTCAAAAAATATAGTTTTTCAAAATTGACCTAAGAAGGAAGAGAAAGTGTGAATGGTTTATAGATGTTAATGAAATTGAATCAAGTATTTAAAATCTACCCATAAAAAAATCCCCAAAACACCAGGCTATTAAATTCTTTCAAATCTTCAAAACATAGATCAATCCAATTTTATTCAATCTCTTACAGAGAATATAAAAACAGACCACTCCCCAACTCATTCCATAAGATCAACATAACCTAAAAAATATCAGATTAGGACAGTGAAGAAAAGAGCAGAACAGGGCAATCTCATCCATAAACACAAATGTAAAAGCTACAGACAAAATTTTAGCAAATTGAATCCATCAGAATATATATTTAAAAGGCTGTATTTATTCCAGGAATGCAAGGATGAGTTAACAAAGAGAAAAATCTATAAATTCACCACATTAACAGACTAAAGAAAGATATATATGATCATCTCACAAATCTAAACCCATTTGCAATTTTAAAAAGTCTCTTGACAAAATAGAAGAAAATTTCCTTAACATGATGAAGATTATAAGCCACTTTTAATGATAGAATATTAGAAGTATTCCCTTTAAAATTGGGAAAAATACAGGATGCCCACCATTACCATTTTTATTCAATACCAGTACAGCAAGAATAGAAAAATAATTGATCAAAGGTATAAGAATTGGAAAGAAAGAAATCAAACTGCCAGCATTCAAAGTATTATCTTTGAAGCAGTATCTTCTATGGCAAATATGGCTTCTGCCTCCTCAATTTCCCCACATCACAATTTCTCTGGTTTTTCTCAACCTATAAAAATACATCTCTCATCCTTGTTAAAAACCAGAAGGCCATTACTTGAGGCTGTTTAAAGTCACAGATACCATCAAGCATGCCATTCTAACCCATTTAGACTATTCTATGCAAAGAACATCTCAAAGCACTAGACACTTGATGGCATTATGGGCAACTCTGAACTTTGGTGTAATTTAAGGGATGTACTGAAAAAACGAATTTGGGAACCTATATATCACCTCAAGAGGATCCCAGAATGGATAAAAGTGCTTACTTTGCAGTGCTTTCTTCTCAAACCCAGGGAAGTTTGAGAATGAGCATACTACCATTAAGCCTCTCTTGGCCTGTGAAAACCAGTAGTTTGTGCTTTTCAGAGAGAAAAGACACTGGCAGATGACGGATAAGTAGGAGGATCCTGACAGCATTAGATTTTCCTTTCATTTGTCTGCCTTCCTCTACTTCCCCCTTCTTCCTGCCCTTTTAAAACTTCTCCTTAAAATAAATCATCTCTGTCCCTTCATTTAAAGGTGCAGTGGTTTCAGTCATGGAATCCCTTCTTCAAAAGAAATCTTCCTGGGCCGGCCCCGTGGCACACCCTGGAGAGTGCGGTGCTGGGAGCGCAGCGATGCTCCCGCCACCGGTTTGGATCTTATATAGGACTGGCCGGTGCGCTCACTGGCTGAGCGCGGTGCGGGCGACACCACGCCAAGGGTTGTGATGCCCTTACCAGTCACGAAAAAGACAAAAAAAAAGAAAAGAAAAGAAATCTTCCTGAAAGCTTAAGATGTAAAAAAAAAAATGAATGTAGAAATGTTTGGTTCACGGAATAGTGGGAAGCCAGGTACTCATTCTGGTCTAACTCCCCATCACTCCTCCCGTGCATACTCAGAGGGCACCATTAAGTACCAGTACCGTTACACTGATAGTGTGTGCAATTTCATTTGCTGTCTCATTTACAATTTTCATTTGTTTCTGCTGCTTAAATGGTAAACCTAGGGAATGACTTTGCAAGTCGCTTTTAAAGGGATAAATTTAAAGTGAGACAAAATTAAGCAAATACAACAAGCAGGTTTGTTCACGAAGTTATAGAAAAAAGGGGGAAATGCAATTAGTTTCTAACATGGAGTATAAAACACAAATATAAACTATTAAAAATAGGGATAAGGGCTGACCTTTTCAGAATCGTGTTTGCCTGAGCTTCAGAAACATGTAAACCCAGTGATTTCAATGCAGCAACTACTTCTGAAGCTTCTATTACTCCTTTAAAAAGTGAAAAAATGTCTAGTTAAGGTATCTGAAAACATAATAAGACAAAATATACTTTAGTCTTTAAAAGCACATATTTTATTGGTCCATAATCCCATATCCACAAACCAAAGCCTAAAAAGCTCTAAAAATTAAAAGACAAATTTGGCACCAAAGTTCATTTGGTGACAAGACCTGCCTTAATCTGACATGAGTTTCATTTTAGCCAGTTATTTACCTAATTTAGTGTGAAAATTCATGTTTCACTGCAGAAATATTCATGTACATAACTGCATGACACCACTCGGAATACTACATAATATATCATATATGCACTGTATTACTTTTCTAAAATCTAAATTTTAAATGTCAAAACACATCTGCCCCAAGTGTTTCCAATATGAGATTGTAGATCTGTAATAGATTCTTGATTATTATACCCACTCGGAGAGAATTGAAAAAGCCAACTCTGAAGATGTGATTCAGGGACATGAAAATAAGGCCACTTAACGTTTTATAAGGCAAGCTTTAAAAGAAACAACGTACTTAAAATATCAAACTCTTTTAACAAAACCATATTCTATGTTAAATGACTCAAATTAATTTATTTAATACAAGCCTACTATGCATTACACCCTCACATTGCTAGAGGTTATAAAGGGAAAATTAAGTATTCCACATTCTCCTCAACCTCTAAAACACAAATTTAATCATACCATTCCCTAATTTCAAAAAAATCTTTGATTCCTCCCTTGTGTAAAGCAAATAGTTGAGGATACCCAATCTTTTCGTATATGAAGACAACTATTTTTAAGATTAAAAAAATCAACTTTAGTGTCTTTTAGTTGAAAAACACATGTTAAAAAGCTACTATAAATATTCACACCTTCAATTTGTATTTTATAAACCATAGCTACATATACATACATTTACATATATGTGTGAGACATTATTTAGCCCCAGCTCATAGACAAAGCCTTTTATTCCTATATAGACTCTCAGACTCTTTGCAATAACTCCAAGGTCCCTAGTGTTCCAAGCTCCACAGGGTGGGATTCACTGGTTTATTCCTCAGCCTAGAAATTGAAGTTTCTTCAGCTAGGGAAGCTGCTTTACATCCCATTATAATCTCTAAATATTAAACTCATCAATTCAATTTAATAACTTCTAAATATTTGATAACCAACTATGCAAATCATTATGCTAAGTGTGAGAGAATCCAAAGATTAATAAATACCTCCAAGGAGTTTACCAGTTTGCATGGATGCACTAATTATTTTTAAAATACATTACACTGTGCTAAATGTATGCTACTGGAAGAGTAAATATAGGAGTGAAAAAGAAGAATCACAAATGAAGTGCTATAAAAAGAAGAGAGATTCAAATAACAAAAATTAGAAATGAAAAAGGCGATATTACAACTGATTCATTTGAAATACAAGGAATCATTCAAGACTACTATAAACAACTATACGCCAACAAGTTTGAAAATCTAGAGGAAATGGATAAATTTCTGGACACACACAAGCTCCCAAAACTGAACCATGAAGAGGTAGAAAATTTGAACAGACCAATTACAATAAAGGAGATTGAAGCTGTTATCAGAAGGCTCCCAACAAAGAAAAGCCCAGGACCAGATGGATTCACAGCAGAATTTTACCAAACATTCAAAGAGGAATTGACACCGATTCTTTACAAACTATTCCAAAA